AGAGGGAGAGAGGCAGACAGAGAGAGAGAGAGCGTGCTTCAGAGATGACGGTTGTCTGCTGGCGGAGGCGGCTAACGCTAACACGGATCACCAACACACACACGTCGTCTGTAGTACAACACAACATGCAGCGACCGACGCAGGCCGACAACACCCAGCAGGGCGGCTAGACTCTGCCGACAGTGACTAGACTAGCAGACGCGTGCAATACGTATGCGAGAGAGGAGGAGGAGAGGGGAAGAGGGGGAGAGGGGGAGAGGGGGAGAGAGCGGCAGCAGCACCGGTCGATTTCAGTTGCCGACAGTAGAAACAATCACTGTGTAACTAAAACAGTAGCTGCTGTTACGTACGCGCGTGCGCATGCACGCATACACACGCACGCACACATGCACACGCACACACACGCACATACACACGCACATACACACGCACATATACACACGCACACGCACACACACACATACACACACGCACACGCGCATGCGCACGCGCGCGCGCACACGCACACGCACACAGAGGAATAGGACGACGGTAGGAAGAGCTTTACCTTACCATAAGACACTGTCCCCTATCCTCATGCTAGCTGCTAATAATTGAAATAGGCACAAGCACATAGCACCAGGGTTCTCCAAGCTTTCCAATTATAGCATGGGGGTGCTACTCACTGCTAGGGGGGTCCGGGGGCATAAACCCCCGGAAAATGTTTGAATTGTAGAAGCTCTGAGATGCAATCTGGGACACTCTGTGTGTAAATTTGAAGCACTGCATGTGGGGTGAAAATGTTTGTTTTGCATGGGCAAAGCCATCGGAAAATTCAAAATAATTATTTCTTGATGAGCTAGAAAACACTCGGATTTGAAGTATGAAAATAAACATTATTGTGCCAGCTAGCCTATACCACTAGCTACCACTAGCTATACCACTAGCACTATACCACTAGCTACTACACCAGTTGGTTGGGATTGATTGTCAGTTCAGATGCAAAATATTGAAAGCAAAAGGTTATACACCATAGATTAATTTTGGTACTATAATACGCGTATATAAGATAGCCGAGTCGGTTTAGAGTTAGTGTTAGGGTTAGGGATAGGGAGACTGTTTGTACTTGTGTGTGGGACTGCCGTACCCGTAGCATCGAGACCAACGTGTATTAATTGTTTGAACTTCTTGCGTATATACCAGCATAGCGGCTATGATATTTAGCGTGGCGGGGGCCGCCAGGCTATAAGTGCCCTTGGAGAACCCGGAGCACGTGTGCTATTTGAGTGGTATTATAATATGCATTCTTACCGTGAAGCCAGCTAACTGTAAGGAGCACAGTATTTGCTTTGCTTTCCTAAAGACAAGTATTTCCTTTAGAACTATTTATTAGAGACGGCGTTAACGTGCATGTAACGGGTGTGTAGGCCTGCAGCAATTATCAGGCTCAGTAGAAATCACATTGCCTGCACCAAACGTGACTTCCAACTAAAATTGTAGTTTATTTACTTCTTAGTTTGTTTGATTATCTTGTCTTCTTATCTTGAGTTTCAAAAAAACACACACATGGGTTCCTTGCACACTCCCGATGCCAGTTAGTTTTTTCAGTTTGATTTTAAAAAACCTCATCAGTAATAAAGAGTTCACCGTGTCTATAATTATGATGCTAATAATGTGTACGGCTAAGTATTGTTGCGTGTATAATAGCATACACTCTGTAAGAGAATTCACTATCGCCGGGGGGTAGGCACGGATCACGAGACAGCTCGTGTTTGACATTGACTAGTAAATGCGTAGAATGTTAAACTCTCAGCATCCTTGTACACCTATCAAGAATGCGCGCGCGGAATTCAATCCATCATCGTGTCCAAGTAGCGCGAGATAAATAATAAACGTCGAAGAAATAAATGCACATATCATTAGCAAGATGATAAAAAAATCACTGGTTGGCTGAATACATTACCCACCTGACCATAATGAAGATCAGGGATAACACGTTGGCACCCACACGTTCTATATCATTAGGGGTGAATAATGACAGATTAAATCAATTAATTATAAATGAATAATTAATAATTTGTCATTATTCACCCCTGATATGATAGCTTATAACAGCAGCGTATACGTATTGCGGTTTCGCCAGGAGTGCATGTTAAACCTCAGGTGAAGCATATAAACTCTCTCTCTGTAGTACTCACAGCCATGATTCTATGCAACAACAGCATAAATTCTTAGTGTTTCCAAGTTGGTGTAATCAGTAACATATCTGCTATTATGTGAGCCTAGATTTCGCTATTTGTTTCCGGACTTTTTTTTAGTTTTTGATTTCGAAATCCAGGCTTTAAATCCCACGTGATGCATAAAATTTCTCACTGTACCCACCCACAGGCATTCACTATCGGTGCCTATCACAGATGTGACTGCTATAAACTATGTGCGCTATAGGCCAATAAAGCAGTAATGTCGGACCTTTCATGCTCGAACACACTAGGACAATTCACTACGATGAAACTGCTCACGCCACAGGACATTATTAAAATTCCTCAAATCTCTTCCTTAAAGTCATGAATGTGAACGACGCAAAGTCACTCCCCGAAATGAAATGTGAACGACGCAAAGTCCCCCCGTGCTAGGTCCGGTTCCTGCGAGCACACTCCAGGCTCTTCTGTTATTATATAAGAGCAATGCTCAGCAAATTATTTATCATACCGTACGTCGTCTACAGAGACAGTTTTGCTGTCTGGCGCCATGCAAAAACAACAACAACAACCACAACAACAACAACAACAACAACAACAACAGCAGCAGCAGCTACACCTACACCACCTACCACCAATCCCAGACACGCCGAATGACGTAATAGATAAATATGATATATCTAAAGAAGTAAGGTAAGTACCACACGATAAATACTTCAGATACTTCACAATAGATAACTTTCCTGCGCTAATAATTTGCACGAGAACAATTTTGCACAAAGTTGAGAAATTTCATCGTGCCTCATCTACTCTCACTGCTTTGAATCACCAGTAGCTAATGCTACTCCACTAGCTCACATCCACCTTCCCATTGCATGTACAGACAACTTACAGCTTCCTTCCTTCCTTCCTTCCTTTGCTCCGACATACCATTGCGGTACCTAGATACGTGTGGCTACTGCTGGTGTCAATGACAGTGCTATCAGAGGTTAATACTGGCTTGATACTGGACAGATTTTGTGGTCGTTATTAACCCTTGGTTCAATACACCACAACACACAATCACCATCTTCATCCCTGCACCTGTGATCTGTCAGGGGGCTGAAAGTAAGATTAGGATTATGGTAGCGTGAAGGAATCGATGACGATGTTGATAATAACGACACCGATGACGACGCGATGACGACGACGATGTACGTATGGGGATGCTAGACCTAAATTAAACTCTAAGTAAACTCAAGCCGCTACCCTCGCCTATACCCATACCCTAAGATACCTGTGCAGATACCCTATTAGATACATCTACAGATACCCTGTATATACCTCTTCAGATACCCTAAGATACCCTATGAACCTCTGCAGATACCCTATGATACCTCTGCAGATACCATAAGCTACCTTTGCAGATACCCTAAAGTACCTCACTGATCAGTGCGAGCGTTTACCTGAGGACTCGTCCTGTTCTAGTATGCTCTCGCACCAGTAGGCCGTCTCTACTGGGCCCAGGCTATACGACGCGCTCATGCTGTCGTTGTTCATGCTATAGCTTCTCATCCAACCACCAGCTGTATGCTGTTTGTGAGCATAGAAGGTTTTGCTTATAAACACACGTCTCGGTAGCAGCGGTCGTTGGTTGTATAAACCTCGCCGAAGACACACAACACAACCTTCTGATTTACAAACGCCCAAACCGTTTAAGAACTGCAATCGTGCAAGCGCACCCGAGTTTCACCACAAATCTGTAAGAGCTAGTGTATCACCACCGTGTAGGAGGATCGCAAACGTAACACTGCGTGTTGATATAAAACCCATCCACGCAACGTTTACAGCACGACCATTAATACACGGTACGATAGTAGAGGCAACTCTTCGTAACGGCTCCCATAAAACTTCCTCTGTCTTGCCGCGCTAGATGTGGGTCCAGGCTACATGCACCGTGCGACAGACGCCACGGCAACGTACTCTGCATTCCAGACACACGTCGTTAATGATCATGATGATGACAGACACGGCCAGGTCGTTCTGTCGTCAATGAACTCACATGTTCCGTGGTTCACTGCTCCCGAGTTCACTAGCGATGCAAATGTTCCTTGCGTTCATTCACCCACGAACTCAGATGTTCCGCGGTTCACTGTCCCGAGTTGATGCAAATCTGAAATGTTCCTTGCGTTCGTTCATCGACGAACTCAGATGTTTCGCGGTTCGCTGTCCCGAGTTCACTAGCGAAGGCAAATGTTCCCTCTTTCCTATGTGAGTCGGCCTGTAGTTCTCACAGTCACGTAGGACGAGCACAGGGGTTGCCTCCGCGGCCACGTACCGGACTCCCACACTCGTTTCTGGTCGTAGCCGCTAGTGCTGCGAGAGTATTTGTCTGCGGAGGCGGTGTGCTGGTCCAAAGTTCTTCCTTAGTTGACCAGCGGAATCATCAAGCGCGACCCGGCACGGTGGGCAAACAACCACCTAATACCACACACGATGGCGACAGCAAACTTACTCTTACATTTCTCTCTCCCGCCACCACCAGCCTCCTTACTTCAACCACGATATTCAATCAGCTTTTTATGCGGCTGTCATCATATATTATATTATTTATATATCCATCTTCGTGTACATTGTAGTAGGTGTAGCTATAGTGGACATCAATGATGCTCATATACATAGGTGTACAGTATCAGCACGGTATATATTCAGGAAAAGTCAGTCCTACACGGGTGTCCGTCCGTTCAGCATGGTATGTGACAAGAAACCGTCATACAGCGTTCAGTGGGACCAGTATAAATTTATGCCAACTAGCAGTAGCGATGGACTGGCTACCTCGGCGCATTGGTTGATGTAACGTACGTACCACCTGTAGCAATGCACAATACGGGATCGAGGGATTCAGACAGAAGGCACTTTAACTAACACCATATACTCATGCAGCAACGACTTCGTATTTCACGGATCCATGGACGTCGCCCAATAAAAACACGTTACCTAGACGTACGACGAGAAAGACTGCGCAGTAGAGAGAGGGGATACGTCTCTCTTCTTCCTACTCTTCCTTCCTCTCCAAATTATAAGCAAACCATCAAATTATGAGCAAACCATCTGCTTAGCACCAAGCACCTAATTGTGAGCGAATCACCACTCTTCCTCGGTGCGCGACAATCTAGCTGTCTGTCTTCCTTCACCATCTGCCTCATCTTCCGTAGTTAAACAATTCACCTCTCGCTTCACCCCCTGCGTCGCTACACTGTCACACGACAGAACTCACAGCAGCTCACAAACACCTTCTCCTGTGGTGGCGGGAGCAGCACGCTAGAATGTGCAGATGTAGTAGCACGCTAGATGTGCAGGCGGCCTCTGTCAAGAGCGAGACACGACATCACAGCACGCAGCAGGGGACGGGTGGCATACCCGCTGTGCAAATGAAAGATGTTCGCGCTAGGATTGTAGATGTTCCACGATCCTCACAAGAGAACATCGACACGGAACGTGCTGTTCCTGTTATCCCGGGAACTTCCTGCTACACTGAATACCTGAGTCTAGGACGCTCCCTCGTGCGCACCTAGTTTGACAAATCTACATGCGGATTAACGAATACCAAGACGTGAACACGGAAGACGCGCGACTGCAACGTAACGAGGTATGAGCCACTAGCCTTATTAAACCTGTTGTCAGCGCTAGCGGTGGCTCAAGTCAACGAAAGACAAACTGGCCCCGATAGCATACTGTCGGCTCATCGACACCCCTGAGGCAATATTGGCCTTACGCGTTACGCTATAGGATGGAAGTGTGTTAATGGGAAACAGTTAGTGAGGCGAGACGAAGCAGTTGACCATAAGAGCGCTCGAAAGTTCTTCAAAAAACCTTCCATCATTCATCTTTAATTCTCAATGTACGACGATTGCTGGAATTTACTGCTGAACCGTTTGAAGGTTATAGTCAAGTCACTGTGCCGTTCAGTTAACAGGTGAGGTTAGAATTTATAATAGCTCACACTCACAGCATATACACGCATACGTGCACGTAACGAGGCACACAACCTGCGCGTGTATATTATTACGAAAAATACTAACAACGTCATAAAGTATAAATTACTTGCGACGAATCCATGAATCAGTTCTAATCTATGGATCAGTGTAGCTGGAAGCAAATGCCTGACACCAAGCCTAGTCCGCCTCTTCGTCGTTAGCTAAGGATGTAATGACAGTTTAAAACCAGCGGACACTTGATTGCCTACTTGACTGCAAGATAAGGCTAGATCAGAGTCGGTATAGCCGCACGCAAAGCAATACAAGCAAAATTAATGACCGCGCACCGAGTAATGGTCAGCCCACTGCATTCTAGTGTCAAGGACAACAGTTAATGACCTTAGTAGATTCACAGCACGCATAGCCTCGTAGATGTCCAAGGTAGGGACCTCACCACAGAGCACACTTAGTTATCCAGTCACAGTCACAGTCTATGTTTCTGTGTAGTAGATGCAACAGGGCATCTGACGCAGTATAGTAGCTGTAGAGCGATTGATGTGACTTAGCTAGTATGATGATAGATGGAGAGAGAGAGAGAGAGAGAGAGAGAGAGAGAGAGAGAGAGAGAGAGAGAGAGAGAGAGAGAGAGAGAGAGAGAGAGAGAGAGAGAGAGAGAGAGAGAGAGAGAGAGAGAGAGAGAGAGAGAGAGAGAGAGAGAGAGAGAGGTGCGCGCCTTAAATGCGGCTCATCGGCTCATCGGCTCATCGGTTCAAAATAACATGTTTGATTTGGAACGATCACCGCGATAAAAATAAATCGTCTACAAATGAACGCGCACACCTACATGCGCTTCATCGCTTCATCGCTTCATCGCTTCAATCGTTTGTAAAATCGGCTGTGTGCGGCGGCCTTAATGACGTTTTATCTAAGTTAATTTTTATTAGCTATCTGACGTAGAATCGCATGATCGTGCATCCGTCCGGCCGGCCGTCCGTCCGTTCGTCCGTCCGTCCGTTCGTGTGTGTGTCAACAGTTCAGTTGGGCACAAATCTTAACCGCTCGACGTACGGTCACGATATTCGGGACGTGGGGGGTAATCCGAAAACGAGTTGGGATGTCGAAGCGGGGGTCAAAGGTCAAAGGTCAAGCAGTGTAAAAGAAGGGGAACATTCTATCTTAACTTAAGGTATAGGGAGGAAATGCAGAATTGCGCCAAATCTAAACGGCTCTCGACCTAGGCTCGTGGTAGTCGGGTATAGCATCATGGTAGGAAAAGCATCACTGTGCCGAAATTGGAGGCACAGGTCAAAGGTCAATGGGGCACAGGGCAGATTTTAGACATTTTCTGAGGACATGGTCTGACGGAAGGATTGAAAAACTTTTTGTTTCAGCGGTGACCTAGCATTTTTATGGCTTTATTGAAAGGACCATGAAATGTACTTTCTGCGGACATGCGAAGAATAAGTGTCGGATAACCTATTGACCCTTAAGAGGAGGGTTAAACATGGATTTGTTTACTGTTAGAAAGAATTTGACTGCCGGGTTTTGCTAGTAGAAATCTATACATGCCTGGATGTATGAGGCTACAATGTCACAGTGAAATTTCAAAAGCTAAATTTGGTTGAAGAAGGTTTATGCTCTTAAATCGTATAATTTCTATGACATTTCTGTACTGTCAGTGTGTTACATGTAACTTATGCCACTGCCAGTGGCCACTGCCAGTGCATGTTGGTGGTGATAGTACTGTGCTAGTTTTTGCCTGCGATTAATTAGTTACAGGTGGCAGTCTCTATTTCTGCCTGTAGGCTTGCGTAGGTAAATGGATGAGTGGCTTACCTATTTCTGTCATGCAAATAGTTGTTGTTACTACGTACGATGGGGCTTCCATCTTTAATCTTAAGACACTTCAACGTTACGCCCACCTTGTGGCAACTTTCATAACCGATCCCACGAACATTCCTTTGAGAAGGTTCCTGATACCATGCCCTGTGCCTTCACCACTGTTTCGGCGCGTATGTGAACACATTTGGACTAACAGGGTTTACTAGAATCCCACCACTCCACCACAGAGTCACCGCAGTAGACGTTAGATTGAGCGCTGTCGCTCCGCGGCACTTGTTCTATTTATTTTATTTTATATTAGTGTTACATTAAATAAGTTGGATGCTGGAACCAATGTTATTGTATTGCAAAGGTAATGCGATGGAATTTAATTAAAAAAAATAATTGTAGGTTGAATCTGAAGGTTGTCACTGTTTTTTTTACTTGTTATTCATAAATGTAATTATTTATATATTCATGCCATTTCATGTAATCAGGAACACACAGTGAACACGTAAATAGCTTTTATTCCTGATTCCTTGTTCCTGATGTAGCCGCTATGTGCATTACAACACAGTTTACCACTGTATCACAGGTGACGACGTATTCATATTTGAGCCTCTCTGTAAATACGCATTACATATCTTTAACCCAGAAATGTCCCACACACAACACTTCCACGTATGTTCTTCACCTCTGCGATACACATGACCTGTGATTTCGCACACCGCCTTATATTTTGTTAGAGACTAATTTATGGGGCGAGTAAGTGCGACCCGGTGGTAA